GGGGTTAATGGTTTAGGGTTTAGGGTTTTTAGGGTTTAGTGTTTGGGGTTTGGGACCACACCTGGAAACCCCAATGAATCCCTTGGAAGTGCCCTAAATCCTAAAGCCCAGCCCTTGAAACCCCAGACCAGACCCGAGACCATGATCTGCCGCTTGCAGCCCTGAAGATGCCACGTCCGGCAAGCTTGAGGAGTTGTAAGAATGGGATCTTAAGAAGGGAGCGCCCAGCTCAAAGCACTTTTACTTCATTGTCAGACTTTTTTGTAGCACGCCTCGCCTGGATTGTCCGAGTGTGAGCGCCGAAACCTTAAACCCATACACCCCCTAAACCCTAAACCGAACACGGCGCCTCAGATGGGAGTTTCCGAGAATAGGTGACCCTAATATAGCACCCTAGATAGTAGGATCCAAATTATAAGAACCCCTAAATAAGGTACCCCTAAGTTCCGGAACCTCCCAGATGTTGAACCCGTGATTCCTGTAGAGAGGCTCTGAAGTCCGAAGAGTGCGGTCGATACAAGGACAGGGTGGCCTAGTGGTTTAAGGAGCTTAGGGTCTAGAGTCTAGAGGTTAGGGCTCATAGGGTTTAGACGTTTAGGCTTCTTAGCCCAGTATCAAAAGTCGCTTTGGGGTTTATGGCTTTAGGATGCTTTAGGGTTTTAGGGTTTAGGTGTCATACAGGGGTTGGGGTGTCGGATTTTCGGGCTCAGGGCTCATGGGGGCCGGCCGTACATATTTTTTGGCATTTGCTTTTCGGCTCCAGAAAGGTTACAGAAGGATGAAACGCAAGACGTGGAGCGAATCAGTTGGGTAAAGGGTTAAGTTTAACCAGGACCCCCCTAAGGCCCTTTAATGGAGCCCTTATGGTCCTTAATACTGGGTATTTGGGGTATGTTAGAGGGTAGTTGGGGGGTCTAGGAAGGCACAGGTCCGTGAGGTCTGCCTGGTGTTTCAGACGGAGGTCGATCGGATTTGCAGCTCGAAGGTAGGCTTTCGGGCTTTGAGGTTTGGTCTTCAAGACCAAGGGTCTACGGTTGTGAGCCGTGGTCGAAGTATAGACCTTGAGGATTTATTATGCGAGCAAGCAAAGCTCAAAAGTAAGGTGAAGGCAGCATGGGATGGATGTTTCAGGTGTTCGGGCTGAGGGATCAATGCTGAAGGCATACCTGCGAACAGGCGACAAGAGATTGCAAACTTGCAGGATGGCAGCTGCGTGAGAGTCTCCTCGAACAGCCTCAAAGCAGTACAACGCTACGAACACACAAGAAAATCAGAAACCTCATTGCATACTCCATATCCAGCTGTGGCTGTTGAGCACGTGGTGTTTCATGTGAGGATGTACTGAGGGCTTCCTGCATTGATGCCAGTCCCGGAATCCCAGTACCCAAAACTCAAAGCCCCAGCTGCAGCATCTACAGAACAGGTCAGGAAGCCTCGACCCCTTGGAAATTGTCAATCTAGCAGCTTATTCCAGCAGAAACTGAGCTCTTCGCTCAACGCGCTCGCGCAGGTATGAGATGCAAAAACCGACAAGTGTACCAAGACCACGCCCCAAGTTCTCAAAATCTTCTCTCTCAGTGTGAAGGAGTTTACACTGCTGGAGGACTGCCTTGCGGGATCGTCAGGGTTGCAGGAATTCGGACCAGGACAGGATGCACATGGTCAGGCCACAGTAGCAAGAGACGGCATCGAAAAAAGCCACTCCATGATGCACTGTGCAAGGTAAGGTTTCTAGTGTTAGCGAATGCCAGTAACTTAGACTCACCAATAGTTAGCCCACGCCCCAAAAGAAACCCCGTTACATACCTAACCATTGATATAATCCCTGCCAGGAGCTAACGAGTCAAGGGAACTCCCAAAACCACTGGTTAGACACACTTCCATCTTTTGTCTTGCGAAGGAGCTCGAGGCCAACAAAAGTGGAAGCAGGCTCCGGGTGAGAAGATTGAAAGGAGTCGGCCAGGGCCCTAGCCTACACGGTAGTGGCCTAGCTTTTCCGCAAACAAGACGTCGAGCTGTCGGTTAAATATGCACACAAGTTTTACTATCTATCGATCGATTTGTCTACCTACCCAACCATACACCCATCCTTCGATCTGTGTATCTATCCACCCACCTACCTATCTTTCCTATCTATTAGGTCGAACTACATGCATTCACGCAGGCATGGATGCATGCATCTATGCATGCATGCATAGATGTAACCATGCATGCATGCAGAAGGCAGGCAGGAAGAGGCAGGTCCGTAGGTAGGCATGCAGGTATTAACGCATGTAAAGTAGACATGCATGTCATGCATGCGTGCATGTATGTACCGATGTGTGCATGCATGTGTTGTTCATAGACCCTGTAAATAAAGACGCACAGGAAATAAAGTTGCTTCCAGGTCCTGACGAGGCGTGGGTGTCGCCGACGGTGTCTGGCAAAGACATTATTGTCAAGGCTGCGTGGCATGAAATCACTGTGCAACCCAACTACAATCCCCCGAAACAGCAGCAGTGTTGGACGATTACTGCTACCGGTACTGCTTCGTGCACTGACGTAACACTGAAGCCAGAACAACAGCCGTCATTGTCATCACCGGCTACATCCGTATTATCGGCTCCAACATAATTCGGATGAGTGAATACTTGCAGTCATAGGGAGATGCGCACTGCCCATGGGGAACGCTTGGTGGATTTGGTGGTCAGAGTCACGGCGTCAGGCGGCCGGGTGTCAGTCCATGGGTTCTTTCGGAACCAAATGCACGATGATTCGCTACATAGAACTCGTCCGATGCAGGTGGTGCATCAGCTTGAGATCCAGAAGATCCAGGCTCCCGCCGCATCACCCCAGGAGATCAGTGTGTTAACCTTTCATGTAAATTCATAGCCTTGCCATAATTAAAAGGCTAACTTTTCTTTGGTCTGGTCCATGGAAATGCCCGAAAGTCATTGAACCTTGAACAAGTAGGCTTCTCTTAGCATCACTGACGATTGAATCCAAAAGTTTGCTTTGCAGCTGACTTGAGCTGGCTCAACTTCGACAGCAAGTCCACAGGCTTTCTCCCTGTGCTGAAGGTGCACTTGATGTTGTAGCACAGAATGCCGGACCGAGCTTGATCTCGTACCGGCAAGATGACTGTGAAGCCAGGAGATAACAGGAGATATAGAATCTTGGTGAATGGCAGGTTTAGGCTTATGGCTTTACAGACCTAGCTGCAGGAAAGAAGTTCAGAAGCTTTGAAGGTTAGCTGGGTTTCCGGCCATAGGACTTGAGCCAGTTTCTGCGCGATTCCAACGTAAGGCCTTCGGCTATCTTTGAGATGTTTTTTGTGGCAAAGGCATCCTTCAGGACGGAGACCAAGGTCTGAAATCTACGAGCTCCAAATCCGAGTTCCCCCAACCCCGTGAAGCTGACATCAGATGCGCCCCAAGATTCCAAGCAGCAAAGCCATGTCTGGCAAGACATATGGGTGGTCGTCAGAATTGGGATCCCTTTTTGGGCACCCGAAATAATAGGTGCCGTATTATCATAATGAGCTAAAAGGGACCTTAATTTTGACAACTACACATATATCTTGAAGTGTGGTTGATGTGCATTGTGCAGGGCGATGCCCTCAAGAAGCAGTTTGCTGATATCATTCCGAGCGAGCTTCTCCGGCTGGATTGGGTAGCTGCGACGCCAACAGAGATTCTTTCAAGGGGTCTTGGATTTCGGGCATGACAAACCCCAATAAGTTTTAGCAAGCTTCGACAGAATGAGAAAGGTGTTCAGCCGCTTCGTGCTCTCACGGCACTTGCTGTTGACGGCTTGTTTTGCAAGTGCACCTTCTGCTGCATATCCCGAAAGTCTGACTCCACCAGCTTCTCCATGCAAATTCAGTCCATCAGTTTCCTCCATCTGAATTCAGTTCGGCCACACACTACTCAGATTTCGCTTGGGACGGCGCAGCCCCACACCCCAAAGCATTCAACCCGGCAAACACTGAACCCCTGAACCGTGCAGAACTTTCGCTTAGGCCACCATCAGCCCAAAAAGCCTTCAGAACAGAATTCTGATCAGGGCTTGAACTGGTTTTGAGGAGATGGCAAAACCCTGCTCCAGGCCACGATCCCGAGGTTAAACTAGCGGCAAGGAGCCTTAATTCTTCTGAAGTTCTAAGCAGCCTTTTTCGCCGGCCTCGGCCAGGGTGAAGACTTAGCAAAAGACTTACAAAGTTGAGGCTGGCCGGCCGTGGACAAGGTTCAGGGAAGCAGCGTGAAAAGGCTTTTGGGTTGAAGAATCGTAGATTCGGATTTTGGTGTGCAGGGATCTGGGATAGCGGTTGTTGGGCGTTGGAAATCGAAGGGTTCAGGAACCAAGCCCTGAATTCAAACCTACAAAGACTCAAAGGTATGTGGGAAGCCGACCGTTAAACCAGGTGATGGGAATGTGGCTGGAGAGACTTCATGCTCGAAGCACTGCTATCCATGCCCCTGATGTTTTGGATTCGGCGGCTTTTCGTCCCACCGTGAGAGCTAACTACGGCCAAAAACCGGCTCCAGAAAGCAGTAAGCGCTTTAGAAGCTCTCGCCCACAGGTCTTTCTGAGGCGGGAAACGCCACGAAAGCTGTGGTTGAGCCCCGTCTCATGCTGAGCAGAAGCAGCTTCAGCGTCAGACTTTGTCGATGCACAATCTTTCTTAGGAGTTTACTAGGCTTGGCGGCTGTACTCGGACATCTTCATGTCAATAGTACACTCCTGGCAAGGCAACAGCACACGAGCATGCTGAAACGACGACATCACGTACAGTCCTTGCTTTTCTCGTAGGAACGTTGCGGGCATATGGGTCGGTCGGAGCCTCGTGTCAAAAGAGCGCAGCACAAGTGCGGATATCGGCACCATCCCCGCCTCCCGCACTCTCTTCACACGCATTGACATCCGCAGACCTCTTTCCAAGGTCAGGAGTGGTCAAGCGGTGTGTGCACAGGGGGACATGAGCCATCCTGAATCCTTAGTCCTGCCGAGTCTTGGCCGCGATGCGCCGCAAAGACATCTCCACAGAGAAAGCATTCATTTTGCGTGGCAGCCCCCGATCGGCTCAGACAAGTTTAGCGACGCCTTCGTCGACCAAAGAAGTCTTGAGGGCGAGCACACTGGACCCTGAAACAGGGTCCGACCCTGAGACGATTCCCGGCCTTTTTCATTCAAGAGGCCTGCAGCTGCAGCATGAGCACCATGCTGTTCATCGCTTGTTTCATCCTTGGAATTCTGATACCATAGGTGTGGTGCTTCTGGCCTTCTTTCTCGCATCTCCGCGATCTGAGCCTCCTGCGCCCCAGAACGGACGGGCACTCACTGGACCGGAGGGCTCACCTCGCCGGAACCCAAGTGCCACAGTCGCAGAGGTCATCGCCGCTACCCTGGGAGAGTCCGGCGTCCGGACAGAAGCATTCGCCAAATGGCCGTGGACACCGGCAACTGCGTACAGACTTCGCAAGGCCGAGTTACAAGTAGCAGGCTGTGCCAGCTCCTTCTCGGGGTGCCTGTATCAAGGTCTTGCCGGGCAACTTCGCTTGATGATCGAACCAGAGTTCTGCTTGACAGGAACAAATGCAACACTCAATGCGTCCTGCCGCTCTTACATGCCAGATCCGACTCAAATTTTGCCTTGCGCGCTATGGGGCATTGCGAGGGCGATCAGCCGGTCTATGGCCTGGCTGTGAGCGATGGCACTGGGTGCATATCGCTTGAAGACACGGATGACCGGCTTGTCTTGCATGCAACACGAGGCCTATGGGTTTGAAGCTGATCCGCCTGTACCGCGAGGAAGCTTTGGCTGCTTGGCTCGAAAGTGCTTTGCTGCTTGAATTGGCCTTTTAAAGTGTAGTTTGGGGGCCTTATTGGGGTTCCTTATCGTGTTTATGGTATAATATACCCCATAACCCTGTTTGAATTGTTAAGGCCCCTACATTAGACCCGCAGCGGAATTTCAGCTGTGAGCCCGACTTGGGGGAGACATGAAAGCAACCCACATTCGACTCATTCCGGGTATGGGGCTCGCGTCAAGCCGTCGCATGTTGAGGACTTGCGCATCAACCCGAACTACCAGGACAATTCCGCAGGAGAACTGGGTGAGACGTACATGGGGAATCCTGGTGCTCAACTGGCCTGGGATGTGGCGCACACAAGGATGTAGAACTTGCGCTTCAGGTTCAGGGAATGGGGACGGAGGGTGCTGAAAGTCAAGGGGCTCAGGGACCCTGGGTTCAATTCTGAAAAGGCAAGGCTGGGGGCATCCGGTCGTTGCATTAAGTTCGTGCAGCCGTGCATTCAGGGGATCTTGGGTGGCCAATTTCATGCTCACAGCTCTGACTCGTTCAGATTCTGTCATACAGTACTATAGTACTTACTTGTTTGTTATTCTTCACGTTTCCTCCACCACCAATTGTCAGGTGTGTCAAAAGACCAGCTGCCAGAAAGTACAAGCCAAAGCCATTGACGAAGAAGTGGTGCGTCTCCTCTCTCGTCCGCAGGGTCTTTCTGCAGTGGGAAACGCCACGAAAGCTGCGGCTGAGCAAGCAGAAGCAGCTTTCAGCCGCCGTGGGTTATGGTTTCGGACTGGGTGGCTGGAGGGGAGCCTGAGTGTAGTGACAACAGCAAGCGACAGCAACGACGGGTAAGAAAACTGAGTCTGTCACATGATGGAGTGCTGCCTTCTCTTGCGGAACACTCAGAGCCTATTGCAGGCATGGCATATGGATCGGAGCCCCGGTTCAAAAGAGGACACTGCAATGCTGAAGCTTTGGGAGGGTGTGAGGCTTATCATACGAACTGGGTAGCACAAGAGGCACGTGCAACAAAAGGCTTGTGAGAAGTCATGAACCTTCAAAGATTTACGGTTGTCTCTGTCGTCAGTATATCGACGGACTTAACATGCTGTCATTCTCTTGGGCGTGTGTACTCATACATTTTGTGTGCACATGCCCAAGATACTGACAGCGTGTTCAGTCCATCGATATGCTGATGCCAATATTCATGTATGTATGCACACCCTTGCAGCTTGTGATTGCAAAGTCCCTCTCCATGGCATTAACCCGGATGCGCTGCGACGCATAAATCCCGTTGCCTTACACACCAGAAGTAGCGGCCTACACGCATGTAGGCAAGAACGAAGTGATGGCAGCTGGCGGTGCCGTTGCCGGAGTCGGCGGAACCGCAGCGGCCCTGATAGCAGCAGGCTGAGCCTGAGGCATCGCTCGACATGCAGGTGTTCGGGCTCAGCCAACCACCAACTAAGAATGATAGGATCCTAATCCAAGACGATTTGCGCACAATTGGAAGTAGTGCTATGCTTGGCTTCAAGCCTGTGTGTGTCTAATTCGTGTGCCTTGACGGCACGATGCCCTCTCGTGTGATCCTGAAGCAGTCTCGGGAGCCCATTGAAAGGGAATCTTCCGCTGAGAAACCAGGATCTCAATTCACACTCCAACACCACGACCTGGAGGGATGTTCATCGGGCTGTGCTTAGGAACTCGCAGATCTTTTACCCGAACTTGGTGAGTAAAGCTGGTGATTTGGAGTCCTCGCTGAATAAAATTTAAAAGCCATGGCCGTGTCTTTGCACATAAGGCTTTCTGCTGACCACCCTGTACAGTTTCTCAATTCGAGTTTGTCTCGCACTGATTTAGAGATTCCTTGCAGATTCGCGGAACAACCGCACGGACAATGACAATATGAGAAAAATCCGCTTGCGCTAGCCGTTTTTGTTTTGCAGCAGCGTGAAGATTCAACCTGCGCGGCCTGACAGCTCCTGCCGATGCGCTGCTGCTGCGCGACCCGCAGGCGCGCCTCATTTGGAAGGTGGAGCTGTCGCGAACAGCTGTGATGGTGAAGGCTCATTGTTTCAAGACTCCGCCGGATGTGCGCTCATGCTTTTGTGGTTGCAGGCCTAGGCACTAGGCATGTATGGTTGTTAGTCTAGGGTGTGGGTTTAGGCCGGTCTCCAGTTCTGTTTCAGAAGCTTCCCACGTTAGAAAGAGAGAGAGTAAAGCTCCCGGTGCTGCGGGTTCCCAAGTACTCGGAAATCTAAACGACGGCTGGCATTGAAAACAATCGTTTTCTTGAGTCTTCAAGCCGACATCCTGCTGTCTTATCACTCCACCGTCGGATCACGATCAAAAAGTGCTGCGAGATCATCAATGAGCATCGTCAGAGCCCGAACCCACTCGTGTAATTTAATGTAGTGCGGCCAGGACCGTCGCGATGGACATGGCGGCGAACAGAGAGCTTCTATGGCGAACATGTTGAGGACCACAGCTTGGCCATCAGCAATGTCTACATGCTATCACTTTCATCGTGCGCACGTGTTGCTTTAGGTGTCTGCTTATCAATTTGGAATCCGGGAGGACCGGCCTCAACACTATTGCCCTGGCGACGCTCATTGAAGTCTATAAGGCTACTATAAGAAAGGCTTCCAAATTTGGAAATTGAGGCTTCCTGGGTTGGAGCTGCTGCGTTTGCAGCCTTAAGGCTCAAAGGGTACGCTTGGACTTGGAAGAACGGCTTGGTCATGGTTTCAGGTACTACAGGAACCTGAATAAGTAGCTATATGAATAAGTCGTTATATGATTCCTTGCCATACGTACCGTACTGTACAATATACCAACAAAACCTTTGCAGACCCAAGATTATGAGTCTACCTCGTTTTAGGCTGGAGACCGCGGCGAAATGTCAGTTGTGAAACAGGGTCCGACCCTGAGACGATTCCCGGCCCTTTTCATGTAATATTAAGAGGCCTGCAGCTGCAGCATGAGGCATGAGCACCATGCTGTTCATCGCTTGTTTCATCGTTGGTAGTCTTCTCATACCAATAGGTGTGGTGCTTCTGGCAACTTTTCTCTCGTCTCTGCGATCTGAGCCTCCCGTGCCTGTCTGCAACTACCCAGAATGAACCGGCGCTCACATACATTCTGTGTGCACACGCCCAAGATAATGACAGCATGGTCAGTCCATCGATGTACTGATCACTTTTAGGTATGCATGCGCACTCTGGCAGCTTGTGATTGCAAAGTCCCTCTCCATAGCTTGAACCCGCATGCGCAGCGACACTTAAATGTGTCTCGAAGCTCTAGACAGGGAGATTTGTGCACAGAACCTGCAACCGCAAGGGTTCTAGCTTCAGATGCGCTCATAATTCGCTATGCTGTGGCCTGGTGACCGTGCAGAGTGACCTTGCTTGATGCATTCCTTTTGGTCAGAGTTGCTGCCTCAAGGCAGAAAGCATGCAAAATGGTGGCTGCAGCAGGCTCACGACCATTCTCTTTGGCAGGCATGTATCTACGGAAGCCGCTGCGCTCACGAATCACTTCATGTCGAAGGAATAATGTTCCGCGTGAATGGCCCTCTCGGTTTATGCCGAAGCGAGCATTGACGCAAGTGTCTGATTTTCGCAGCAACAATGCAAAAGCACTGGTTTATGGAATTTGGTGTCGGAGTCTGCTTCAGCTCACGGAGCGCGGTGCAGCTCCCGTGCCCGATGGACTGTAGAGAGCTGCATCATTGAATGTCCATGCACCTGGTGGCTGAGCGGAAAATTAGATAAGTAACAACTGGTATCTCCACTTGGGCCGCCTGTTCCTCCAGCAGCAAAGAAAGGACCTGTTCGAGGAACTGCTTCAAGGCTGTTCAATCCTCGCTCCATCCCATGCTGGCTGGCTTCGGGGTGAGGCTTTCAGACATGGCATCTGACAGCCTCCATGCGACCGCTAGTCTTGGGCATTGCTTTTGAGAGATTGGACAAAAGCAGGCTGGCGAAACCGAAATCCCCAGCTGCACGAGAAGGCAGGATGTCGGTTCTGAGCCTGCTCTGTCATGAGCCCGCTTTTGTGCCGAGGGCTGAGCACGCACGCACCTCCGTATTTGTCTTGACTTTACTTTTGTAGCCAAGCGCAGCTCAAGCCCAGAGATAGCAGCTTTTGCGCCATGGCAAAGCCTTGGAGGGCAGTCGTCCTTCTTGCCACTGCAGCTTTCATGCTCGTGTGGCTCCCCTTCCAGCCCTCCCCAACCGTGTCCGTGCTGACCAGCCCGACCAGCCGCTCCGTGACGCCCTCAGAAGCTCAAGCTCCAGCTCGGCTTCTGGCGCACCACAGCCCGCCAAGATGCGCCGGCTTCTCTGTCTTTGCCATCCGGGCCAAGGGTCAGGTCCTTGCATCCACAACTTTGCACTGGATGCGTGTTGTGTGTTTTGCTGAGACGGCAGCCTCGGTGCCCGTGCTTGGTCCGCTCTTGGCTGCTGTGGCAGCAGTCGTTTGGACGCTCTTGGCTCTGGCTGTGTTGGCTTTCCTGGGATTCGTGCTTGTTTTTCTCGGCATAAGATTTGTAGAGGGTGACCATTGGGCCAGGTCACATGGATTTGCGGACCCGCTGGCCGTGCTTCTATGGTTTCTGTGCTCCTTGGCCGTGTTGTTCCTGCTCCTTCTTTTCCCCTGGCCGACCTTGCCCATCTGCGACTCGGCTCCATGTCCCTGCGCCAACGGCTTCTGCCACGCCGCCGGTGACAGCTGCAAAGGTTGCTTCGAGGGCTTCCACTTGTCCCGTGGCGTCTGTGAAGCGAATGTCTGCAGCTGCAGGCACGGCAGTCCCGTGAAAGGTACAGGCTGCACTGATCACGGCTCCAAAATCTGCACGTCTTGCAGTACTGGCTACTCCATTCTGAATGCTTCATGCGCACCGAACAAGTGCCGATGCCCGCATGGGCAGCCAGTGGATGCGGGATCCGCGGAGTGCACCTCGAACGGCGCGGTGGCATGCATAGCCTGCCGGGGGAACTTCCACTTGGCCAAAGGAGGATGCAAGGCCAATCAGTGCACTTGCAAACACGGAAAGCCTGTCCCCGCCGACAAGTGTGAGACTGATGGCGCCGAGCACTGCGAATCATGCTCTAGCTGGCACCACCTCGCCAACGGCCGCTGCAAGGACAACGCATGCTCTTGCAAGCACGGGGTGCCCATCCCCGGGTGTGCCAGAGATGGCCAGGAGTCGTGCCAGTCCTGTTCATCCGAGTTTCAGCTGTTGGGTGGGTTGTGTGTGGATTCAACCTGCCATCAAGCCCTTGAAGGTGCACAGCCGATGGCACCCATCCGCCACTCCGAGCCGTCACAAGCCGATTCCCCCCCCCCCTGTGCGTCGCAGTCGAGCTACAATGGCACTTGCACCATACCCACGAAGTGCATCCAGCAACTGCCAGCAAGCAGCCCACTAAGGCACGCAGAGGCTTTTGCCAAGGGATCTCCTCCCTTCGAGACTCACATCCCCATCAAAATTACGGTTTGTGTCAGTGCCGTGCTGTTCGTCATCCCCATCATCTACAGCACAGCCACATTCAGACCCTTCATGCTGGTGGTGGAGGTGGCCATCAGCTCAGCCGACTTCGGCTCGGACCTCCTGAGCGCTTTCAACAATGACTTCTACAGCTGGCAGATGTTTGTGCTTGCTGTTTTCATCGTCACAGCAGCCGGGGTGTACACGATCGTGTGGCATTATGGAGGTAACTTGACGCACATATGGTGGAGTACCTACAACAACCTGGCGTGGATCTCCTACCATCGGCTGGCCAACAACGGCATCCACCAGGTCTTCGAGATCGCAGGCGACAGCTTCGAAAAGCATATCATCAACGCCTTCTGTGCTTTCTTTCTGCTTCTCAGCTTGCCACTGCTGGTGCTGGTCATCGCTCCAGTGGTGGCCGCATTGCGATGGCTAATGTCGTTCGCCACGGGTATCGTGCTGCACAGCACGCGCCTGCTTCTGCTGAAGGACGTCCAGGTCTTCTACGAGAAGCACGTACTCGGTCGGGAGTTTGCCACGTCGGATACGTCAGACCACGTCGACCCCGAGCGCTACCACACCATCATTCTGACGGAGATCCTCACGGAAGGCCTGCCCAGCACGGTGCTCACACTCGTGAACTACAGCCTGATGAGGCAAGCATACATGGTTACGCGGCTGAATACTGTCGCAATAGTTTCGTTAGTAGTTTCTGCATACCTAGTCGCACGCATTGGTTTTAAGTACGGCCACCACATGCTGTACCATGGGAAGCCGTTGGCAGACATCCCGTTGCCTTACACACAAGAAGTAGCGGCCTACACGCATGTAGGCAAGAACGAAGTGATGGCAGCTGGCGGTGCCGTTGCCGGAGTCGGCGGAACCGCAGCGGCCCTGATAGCAGCAGGCTGAGCCTGAGGCATCGCTCGACATGCAGGTGTTCGGGCTCAGCCAACCACCAACTAAGAATGATAGGATCCTTATCCAAGACGATTTGCGCACAATTGGAAGTAGTGCTATGCTTGGCTTCAAGCCTGTGTGTGTCTAATTCGTGTGCCTTGACGGCACGATGCCCTCTCGTGTGATCCTGAAGCAGTCTCGGGAGCCCATTGAAAGGGAATCTTCCGCTGAGAAACCAGGATCTCAATTCACACTCCAACACCACGACCTGGAGGGATGTTCATCGGGCTGTGCTTAGGAACTCGCAGATCTTTTACCCGAACTTGGTGAGTAAAGCTGGTGATTTGGAGTCCTCGCTGAATAAAAGCCATGGCCGTGTCTTTGCACATAAGGCTTTCTGCTGACCACCCTGTACAGTTTCTCAATTCGAGTTTGTCTCGCACTGATTTAGAGATTCCTTGCAGATTCGCGGAACAACCGCACGGACAATGACAATATGAGAAAAATCCGCTTGCGCTAGCCGTTTTTGTTTTGCAGCAGCGTGAAGATTCAACCTGCGCGGCCTGACAGCTCCTGCCGATGCGCTGCTGCTGTGCGACCCGCAGGTGCGCCTCATTTGGAAGGTGGAGCTGTCGCGAACAGCTGTGATGGTGAAGGCTCATTGTTTCAAGACTCCGGCGGATGTGCGCTCATGCTTTTGTGGTTGCAGGCCTAGGCACTAGGCATGTATGGTTGTTAGTCTAGGGTGTGGGTTTAGGCCGGTCTCCAGTTCTGTTTCAGAAGCTTCCCACGTTAGAAAGAGAGAGAGTAAAGCTCCCGGTGCTGCGGGTTCCCAAGTACTCGGAAATCTAAACGACGGCTGGCACTGAACACGATCGTTTTCTTGAGTCTTCAAGCCGACATCCTGCTGTCTTATCACTCCACCGTCGGATCACGATCAAAAAGTGCTGCGAGATCATCAATGAGCATCGTCAGAGCCTGAACCCACTCGTGTAATTTAATGTAGTGCGGCCAGGACCGTCGCGATGGACATGGCAGCGGACAGAGAGCTTCTATGGCGAACATGTTGAGGACCACAGCTTGGCCATCAGCAATGTCTACATGCTATCACTTTCATCGTGCGCACGTGTTGCTTTAGGTGTATGCTTATCAATTTGGAATCCGGGAGGACCGGCCTCAACACTATTGCCCTGGCGACGCTCATTGAAGTCTATAAGGCTACTATAAGAAAGGCTTCCAAATTTGGAAATTGAAGTTTCCTGGGTTGGAGCTGCTGCGTTTGCAGGCTTAAGGCTCAAAGGGTACGCTTGGACTTGGAAGAAGGGCTTGGTCATGGTTTCAGGCACTACAGGAACCTGAATAAGTAACTATATGAATAAGGCGTTATATGATTCCTTGCCATACGTACCGTACAAAACCTTTGCAGCCTCTAGATTCCCTAGATTTTGGGTCTACCTCCTTTTGGGCTGGAGACCCGCAGCGAAATGTCAGTTGTGAGCCCGACTCTGGGAGACATGGAAGCAGAGACCACATTCCGGGTTTGGGATTCGATTCAACCCGGTACACTTTGAGGACTTGCGCATCAACCCGAACTACCAGGACAACTCCGCGGGATAACTGGGCGAGACGCACATGGGCAATCCTGGGGTTCAACTGCCCTGAGACGTGGTGCACCCACTTCAGTTAGTATTCCTGGGCCGGAGAGCACTGCGCCAAAACGGCGCCGCACGTCAGTGGGTCGCCATCATGCTCCCTGGCCCTACTTGTCGCAATCTTCGCTGATTTTGAGAGGGTGGCTTTCTGAGGTAGGTGGGTGGGTAGGTAGGTACTTTGGTTGGTAGATTATCGGTCGAAGGGCCGGTAACCTTGTTCTCGTTTCCATCGTTTGCCTGTCTATTTATTTGTGTAGTGCATCCTGCAGAATTTCTTTGTTCGTCAGTCTGTTTATTGGCGGATGCTTTATGCCCGCATGTCTTCCTGTTTGTTACTCCTCCTCTCCTGGCTTCCACCCGGTTGAAGATTCGTAGGCTGCAGGCGGGGAACAGGGCTTTTAGTGTTCCAGGGTTCATGTTACTGTTGGTTTAGAGTATTAGTGCCGCACAAAGCGAAAATAGGCAGGACAGAATGAACCGCTGCACCTTGCTCCAGGGTTCGTGGAAAGGCAAGTTCTGGCCCCTAAACAAACATCCTCCGATAAGTCCGGGTAAACTATTCGGCCTAACGCTAAACTAAATTTGGACGTTTGGCTTGCCGGGTGCCGCGTGACTGTAAGCAGAAGATTCAACATCTTGAGACACGTTAGGACTAGCGACCATTCCAGATCCGAAGCGGTGTGGCCTCTGAACTCGGCAACTGAAGGGGGGCAGTCGTGGCTTCCATGTGTCTTTTCACAAGCTGACTTTGAGGTTCGGCCTGAACCTGAAATTGTGAACCGACAAGCCCCGAAATTCAGCAGCGCAAGCCTTAAACTCGAAAGCCCTTTCGTTCGCAACGTGGTTTGAACATCAGCACCTGTCCCGACAACGTCCTCGATGGAAGGAGCTCTGCCATGATTATTGAGCTCTTTCTAGCCTCTCCCTGTGCCGCAAGCATGGTAGGTCCGAATACCCCGAACCCTAGACCCCTGGCTTTACGTCAAGGAGCCTGTGGACTCAAGTGGCGCCAATCTCGGAGCCCAGGTGTGCGGGGTTAGGTGGATTTAAAATATCTTCACGAATAGGATTGTGGGTTGGCTTTGTACCGATTCCGAAGCTTCCCAGTTCCGTAGAAACCACATACACAGCCGACGAAAGCATGTTCTTGGAAGCCACATTTCTTGAGAACGGGTAGGGTGTAAGGGAGAATTCTTGCGTTTCGTCAGAGCCTCGCTTCTGCATCCTCGGATGGTGGCCACCACTCAGCTCAGAAGTGGTTGCCGCTCACATTGAGGAGGGCAAAAGCGTCCTTCCAACAACATCTTCTATAGTTTGCCGGGAACCATCCAAACGAAGCAGCCCGCGATTTCCTGTAAATCAAGTCGGACATCCATAGGCTGTGGTGTTGCTTGCGACTATTGCTCAACTGCTTTGCACTTCATGTGAGGTGGCCGCTCCAGCAAATGCAGGGGAACATCGAGCCCGTTCTCTGCTTCGGGCTTGGGCTACTGCGGCCTGGCTAGAACTTAGGGACACTTAGGGTGAAGGGCAGCTCAGTCTGTGAAGCCATCCCACTTGTTGCTTTCAAAGGTTCCTTGCTGGCTGTCTTCCCAGACCAAGCTGCCCAAGATCGCTGAAGAAAGACCCATCTTCCCCGCCCCAGCTTCGTGAATCAAGGAAAACGGTCACTACGGTTGTAGCTATCGACCAAGCTGTGCCTACCCGCTGTCCGTGCCGCATCAGCAGAGCAGACAAGCGGAGTGCAGGTTACTCAGTGCCAGTGGTACTTCAGAGCTTTGTGAAGCAGATTTCTTGCCACCCTTGTAGACAACCTGTAGGGATCCAGCTTTCTCTTCTTCAAATTGACAGGTATTCGTTTTCATTGCGAGGTCCCGTCGCTGAACATCCGGGTGACCGGCCCCTCCACCTCGTTGGGTGTGGTGTTCGTCCCGGCGGCGTCTTCTTACGACGAAGCACAAGGGCTCAGCTACGGCAGCGAGAGGATTGTGGTGGCTCCGGATCTGGATGCAGCCTCCACGCCGCTAGCTTCAAACCCTCTCTGTGTTGGATGATTGTTGTTGCATGAGGCTGAGAACACTATTATCAGTCGCTTTAACTATGCGCGTATGTCATTCTTAGCTACTCCTTCTCGCGCGTTCCCGTGAACAGCCGCGCACGATAGAAGGGAGCGCCCCAAACAACAAAGGCTTCTCATCTACAAATACGCCGTTGCATCTGAACAACGTGAGCCTCAACTCTCCTGGCATCCACGATTTCATTCACAATTGTGGCCTTCCACGCGAAAGACACGATGAGTGCCCGGCCGTCACGCTGCCTGAAGATCAACCCTACTGTAGGGGCCAGTGGGATGTGAAGCAGCCTCCGCCCAGCATCTTCGATGACTCCAGGCTCAGGAACAGTAGCTTGAAAATTCGACCCGCATTCATCGGAAACTCAGGGAAGACCTATGTGGGGGCGAACCGGACCTTCGGGGCATCTTCCATGGAGTGGAGGGTCGGAAGACCGCCGGTCCAGGAAGCTCACCTGGAGTGTGGGCACAGAGTGGCGGAAAGCTTCCTTCCGATGCAAGGAAAGCCTAGCCACCGGCATAGAATACGACCCTGGAATTTGGTATTGAAATATCCTGAACGCAGAGCGCGCATGGATTGAAGAGTTGTTGCGGACTAGCCGACTAGCCGATACCATTATGAGATTTTCTGTTGGACACACTGATGACATGTAAATTAATTATTTTGGCGTTCCGAGCTGTCCTGTTTGCCATTCCGTTTTGGCGTTCCAACTGCCATTACATTTTTGCTGTTCGGCTTTGCTATTTCGTTTTGGCGTTCCAACTGCCATTTCCTTGTTGCTGTTCGGCTTTTCCAGTCCTGCTTCGGTTTGGCTACTTCAATCAGCATAATGCCCCAAAAGCTTTGACTTGTGACAAGCACAAATCCAAGCATGACCTACACTACACGTGGATGGTAGGGGTAGTGTCTGGACTCGAAATTACGGAATAGCAAACAACACGACATGAGAATGCGACGCGGCAAACTGGATTGCCACACCAGTTCAACGCAAAACAGAGGCTGGCAGGAGCGCCAACTCAGGAATGGCAAATCAGACAAACCACAAGCGAGACGTTCCCAGGAACGCCAAATCTGGAATGGCAAAACCCACCCTTGGGAATGGCAAAATAAATATTTAGCAAAATCCAGCCCTGCATGCCAAACAGTCTTCTAACGATACCATCGACTGATCAGTCAGTTTTCTACTCAGGTTGCTGCAAGGTTTGCAGTGCTTCTCTGTGCGACCATGCCGGAGCAAGCTGTGGCTTCAGAGGGAGTCTAGTTTGTTATGCAAGCTTGAACGCACGCTCCACCAAAAATGCTGACCATCCAGTATACAGCGGAGGGATATGCGGAAGCGCTGCTGCAATTTCTAAACCTCTACACTCTTCTCAACCCCCCACAAGCTCTAAGGCTTTGTTGTTCTGGATTTGCAACAATACCTTCGAGCATACGGGATTGGATCGGCATTGCCGATATGCTCAAAAGTCCAGAAGTGCTTTGCGGAGTGGGTGCAAACAGTGGAAACTGTAAACGGATACCCCTTCACAAGGCCTGCATTTTTTAACTTAGACCTGCACGTAGACTTCAACAATTCTTCAATCCCTTTGCCATCCCAGTCGCGACCTACGATTGTGGCTGCCATAAAACGGGGAAGCTTCGAACGTGATGGGTGGTGTCAGATGACCAGAAGGGACGAGTAGGTAGATGGAAGCCGAGGCAAGCACAGGCTGCTTGTGAACAGGAACTTTCCCCCGGTGCCGCTCATGCTTGTGAACTTTTGCGGATAGGTTCCGTTTCTTACACTGACTGTTGACGACGGCCCCTGGGCCGGCCCCAGACCTCGGGACACTGTGACGTCCGATGGGCCCGGTTGCTTCGGCTTCGGAAGGTTGGCTCTTCGTCCACGATGGGTTGGTCGTGGTGGGTTTTGCAGTTCGTCGGAGTTTGAAGCCGCCGCCACATGGCTCAAGCTCTAAGCCGAAGTATCAAAAATAGACCCTCCGCAAAGCTGATGACAAATTGACAGCCGTTCAAGGGTCGTTTAAGGTACTTTCTAAAACCTGACACACGGCCAGAGTTGGCAGTCACTGCTGCCACCGAGGCAATGGTGATTTAATCTGCCTTCGCACCGACCTCCTTGAAGCCCGTTGTTGCCTGTGGACATGTAGAATGGAGGCTGAAGCTTTGATTGTGAGACTCGGCACCAATGCGGGTCATGCTGGGGGGCGCATGAGCGGATACGAGCTTTCGGTTCGGATACAGCTCGCTGGGAGCATCAGCAGGACACAAAGGAAGTCAAACGAGCAATATGCACAACGGCGACCATGAAACCTGGTCCCAACTCCAGCCCTCATCGTCTGGCATTGAAAACAGTGATAAGGCTTTGGGGCTTACAGTGCTCCGGAATTGGGTTCGAAAGTTTAGAGTTTACAACGATTGCATCATCAAGCCGGCATTTCCCACAAGTGTTAACTTTGACCCACGGTGACCAGGTGTTTACACCATAAACACTTTACTTGAGGCAGGGAGACTGGGCCGCAGCCTGATTAAGAGCACGGCCCCTGTCGACCAGGTGTTTACACCATAAACACTTTACTTGAGACAGGGAGACTGGGCCGCAGCCTGATTGAGAGCACGGCCCCTGTCGACCAGGTGTTTACACCATAAACACTTTACTTGAGGCAGGGAGACTGGGCCGCAGCCTGATTGAGAGCACGGCCCCTGTCGACCAGGTGTTTACACCATAAACACTTTACTTGAGACAGGGAGACTGGGCCGCAGCCTGATTGAGAGCACGGCCCCTGTCGACCAGGTGTTTACACCATAAACACTTTACTTGAGGCAGGGAGACTGGGCCGCAGCCTGATTGAGAGCACGGCCCCTGTCGACCAGGTGTTTACACCATAAACACTTTACTTGAGGCAGGGAGACTGGGCCGCAGCCTGATTGAGAGCACGGCCCCTGTCGACCAGGTGTTTACACCATAAACACTTTACTTGAGACAGGGAGACTGGGCCGCAGCCTGATTGAGAGCACGGCCCCTGTCGACCAGGTGTTTACACCATAAACACTTTACTTGAGGCAGGGAGACTGGGCCGCAGCCTGATTGAGAGCACGGCCCCTGTCGACCAGGTGTTTACACCATAAACACTTTACTTGAGACAGGGAGACTGGGCCGCAGCCTGATTGAGAGCACGGCCCCTGTCGACCAGGTGTTTACACCATAAACACTTTACTTGAGGCAGGGAGAGCAGCCTGCTTGAGAGCACGGCCCCGGTCGACCATGTTACACCATAACACTTTACTTGCGGCAGGGAACTTGGGCGCAGCCGATTGAGAGTCACGTGCCCCCTGTCGACCAGGTTTCACCATAAACACTTTGCTCTTGAGACAGGGAGCTGGCCCGCATCCTATGAAGAAGCACGGCCCCTGTCGACCAGGTGTTTACACCATAAACACTTTACTTGAGACAGGGAGACTGGGCCGCAGCCTGATTGAGAGCACGGCCCCTGTCGACCAGGTGTTTACACCATAAACACTTTACTTGAGGCAGGGAGATTGGGGATCCGTAGACCGCAGCTTGATTGAGAGCACGGCCCCTGTCCGCCCGCTCGCTTCGAGGAAACTGCCGACAGACTTCGCAGGATGGGCCATCAGTTTTCGGGGCGAGGACCCGCCCTGACTTCACTTTGCGGTCCTGCTGTTGGGGGGTCCCATTTTAAACCCTAAGTTACCCGAAGCCTATAAACCCTAAACCTCAAACTGGCTACCGGCCAGCTCCCCTCCAGGAGCTCCGAAGAGAGAAGGGCGAAGCGGGCCCACATGGTGGCCGCGGCCAGGCCCCCGAAGTAACTGGCCGGGTACTAGGGTGGTTCAATATGGGCTTTGATTATACATACGGCTGGCGTTCAGGGTTTTTCGGGCTTGGGTTCAGGGTTTTGGCTTGGGTGGCGTGTATACTCAAAGGTTTGGGGGCTCAGGTCCGTAGACCCCGCAGCCGCACGACCTTCTACTTGTCGGCAGCATATATGCAAGAATCGCACATTTGGACACATGCCACTGTTACAGCGCAACGCTGTCAGGATACCCCCTTAGCATTTTTGACTTTTGGAGCGTCCCCGCCTCGTCAGTGACCCTTCCCCCAAATTCGAAACGATGTTAGGGTTTAGGATAGTTAGGGTCAGTGAGCCCCGATCCACACTTGAACAACACACTGCAGCTCTGCGTGCCCTCCGATCTCTGTTTGGCTGCTGAGCAGCGTAGTTTGAAGAAGAACGACGTGACCAGCTTAGTTTGGCGCTAGCGACAGGTGCACAAACTGCGCAGCATGATGCGGTGAAGCCTTGTGCTTTCCTGCATGTCCAAAGCTCGGCCAGTGGCCGACTCTCGATTTACTATTCAGTTTTGCATTGGGATAGTCGGAATTCTTCTCCGCACTTAAAGACTTCAAACCTGCGGCCTAGACAGAAATCACACTATCCCGTTTCTCTCATTGCCCTTTTGCACCGAACCAGAACCACAAGGTTTAGATCCACAGGGCTTTTTCGACAGAGTTGGCTTTTAAAGACGTTTACAGACTTTTAAAAACTTTCAAATGCAAGAAAAAACATTCTCAAAACTTTTAGAAGACTTTAAAAGACTTTTAGAAACTTTTAGAAGACTTTTGCAAACTTTAAAAGACTTTTCAAAACTTTAAAAGGCTTTTAAAATATCTAAAAGACTTTTAAAAACATTAAAATACATTTAAAAGCTTTAAAAATACTTTAAAAGACTTTTAAACGCTTTTAAAAGCTTTTACAAACTTTAAAAAGAATTTGAAAGACTTTTAAAGACTTTAAACAACTTTTAAAAATTTTTAAAAACTTTAAAACAAAAAAAACTAATGTTTTTTCCGAGAAGACTAGGATGAAGAAGACCTGGCACAGGGTTTACAGTTTCAGGGTCTTTAGGGTTTGGGGTTAAGAGGGCAGAGTGCCATAGTATTAGGGGTTTGAGGGTAATGAAAGGGTTAGGGTTAGAGTTTCAGGGTCTTTATTATATTTAGGGTTTGGGGTTAGAAGGCAGAGGGCCATAGTATTAGGG